TTCTTCTCTGCAGATCCTCTCAAGCTCTGTCAGGTTGGATGGGGAGCGTTTCTGCACAGCTATTTTCAGGTCTCTCCAGAGATGTTCGATCGGGTTCAAGTCCGGGCTCTGGCTGGGCCACTCAAGGACATTCAGAGACTTGTCCCGAAGCCACTCCTGTGTTGTCTTTGCTGTGTGCTTAGGGTCGTTGTCCTGTTGGAAGGTGAACCTTCGCCCCAGTCTGAGGTCCTGACCGCTCTGGAGCAGATTTTCATCAAAGATCTCTCTGTACTTTGCTCCGTTCATCTTTCCCTCGATCCTGACTAGTCTCCCAGTCCCTGCCGCTGAAAAACATCCCCACAGCATGATGCTGCCACCACCATGCTTCACCGTAGGGATGGTGCCAGGTTTCCTCCAGATGTGACGCTTGGCATTCAGGCCAAAGAGTTCAATCTTGGTTTCATCAGACCAGAGAATCTTGTTTCTCATGGTCTGAGAGTCCTTTAGGTGCCTTTTGGCAAACTCCAAGCGGGCTGTCATGTACCTTTTACTGAGGAGTGGCTTCCACCTGGCCACTCTACCATAAAGGCCTGATGGAAAAAGGGAAGGGGTCTGAATACTTTCCGAAGGCACTGTAAATACTCCTACAGCCGCTGAAAATCCAACTTTTTAATGAACCATGAACCAACCTCTTTAATGAAAAGTGATATAGACATTTCCACAATAAGAGCAAATTCCTCCCTGAACTTTGCACAGTTTTCTCTGTCTAAGCCAGAGAAAAAAGGTTCAATAATTCAATATCACTTTTTCTCTGCTGCATGGGGAACATTTTCACAAAATATACTGTATATCTATGAGAAGGCAGGTCAAGAATGTATTATTTTGTTACAATAGAAAATGAAATAAATGCAACCTGCCTTTACATTGATCTGTTGTTGTACTCTCTCAGATACTGATACCATTCCAGTATATTGCTTTTATAGGCATCTCTATTTGGTTTTTTTCCGGGGAGGATGCACAGTTTTGGAATTCCATTGAATAGCTTTTTTTGTGGTTTGCCTTCTTTCAATGTGTTCTTTCAGTTAATTATTGGAAGTAGCTAAAACTTTAGCATGGCTGCACCCAGCCAGTAACCATGAAGGTCGCCGCGCCCGCCAAAAGTGTAAAGGATACTGTGGGGTGAATGTTGCCGTGTAATCTGTCCATGAAAATAATGCCAGCTGCCAGCCTCATTTGGACTGATAAGGCCTCCGACTGCACCTTGCTGGTGAGGAAAAAATAAAACACCACTGTTGAGATCCACAGCAGCTCCCAGGGATACTAACACCAAGTTGAAAACATTTAATTATACTGTAGCGCTGTTACTATGGGGCTGCCTCAGTTTGATTCTCTCAGCTTGCTATGAAATGGATGCCTCTGGTATAGATTTAAGTCAGACAAGCCCATAACATATAATATTATATTACAGTTAGTCATTGCCAGTAGAATTGATCTTATCTGTATAAAAACCCCACTGCATCCTCAACCTTTATGGTCTTATTTTTAATGTTGCTTGAGGTATTTTTCTTCCCTGTGAACCTATAAAACACAGGGCCGGCCAAAATAAACCCAATGACCGGCAACATAAATTAGGTTCAGTTCCATGGTGGGAGTTCTAGTATTCTGGATCTATGGTATCTGAATATCTTGGCACTCAAATAGACTAATGTCGGTATGCATTTACTTCCTGAAGTGGCTCATACACTGCTATTTCTATAATCTCTAACAATGGTTATATTCAGTTTCAGGCCTTTGTTTGTAATGGGTTATAGAAGATGGCTAAATAAATGTTTTCCTAGCAAAGCTCTGAAATAGGAAGATACTATACCTTTGACTGTAATGCATTTTATAATACATTTCCCATATTAAAAACAAGAATAAGGTCCACCCACCTTGCACGTATCCTCTGACCATTTGTACAGCTGTGATCCGTCCCCAGTGTAATGTCTCACTTGGAGGCGAATCGTCAGTAAATTGCCTTCAATTCAGACCGTTGCAAACTCACAGGCCTGCCTAACAGACCAACGTATGGGGAGGTGTTGGTGGGATTTGAAGACAGACAGACACATTAGGCCCCTTCAAAGTCCATGAACAAGATGTCACTAATGTGGTGCGTCCGTGGGCAGGCCCAATCAACGGTAAATAAACTCAGGCACTCTCACCTGCGCTGCACAGAGCCGTGGCTGCAGCTTCTATTAAGGGCCAGAGAGGGCTCAGCTAAGCCCATTGCCAACCCAACCATCTAAAGTGCAGGGATAAATCGAACGTCAGAATGATTGAAGGGCTTGCTGGCCAAGTAGGCTGGAGTGAGTGAAGGCATAGGTTTACTATTAGCATGTAAATACTGTTTTACTAGCCCAGATGTCAGGCCATCCATATGGTTTATGTAGTCCCATTGAGAGCTTCTACCCTTCCACACCTGCTTGCTAGGTAGGTATTGACTGGTGGGAAAAAGGTATCCACCATCCACTGTGTTAGCAATCAGGTCGAATATCACTGTGGATTGCCACTCAGAGTGAGTGTCTGCTTTATTGCAATTTACTTAGCTGTGTATAGGTGTAGCAAAGTGTGCCACTGTGAATTATCAAGTACAAGCGGCATCTGCCTGGGAATATTTGCCTGTCACAGAGATTTGTTTAAGAGCTCCACTGTATTCCGTTCCTGGCTGTGTTGCACTGTGCAGCAGTGTTGCTTTCTGGAGGCACCACATGGTTCACTGCATGTAGTCAGATTTTAGTGATCTTTTTCAAACAGTATAAATATAATATTTTTAAACTCCCTTTGATATGATTTGTGTATGCTTTGTATTGCCTGGTAGCTCTACATAATATTTTAATTTGGTGATGCATAAATCAGCTAGAAATCATAATAACAAGGTATTTATTAGCATCCATCTCCACAAAATGTAAGAGATTCTCATATCCTTTTCTACCTTAGTATGGTGTACAAAAGAATCTGCAGTGATATGATCAATAGTTTGTTATATCCTGCAATGCTGCTAGAAACACTATAGCATCACCTAGTGTTGATCTGAGAGCATTTCTCTATGTGGGAGGCAAAGTACTGTATCCCTGGAACACCAACTCTTCCGGGGGGATGACATATTTTGTCTGTTCTATACCGTGTTAAAGAATCTTCAAATCTTCACCTTCCCAACATCTGGTAATTGGTACCAATCTGACTGTCAGAAACAGGAAGCATCTGACACAATTTAGATTCAAAGTACTGAAGGTGGGCTGCAGTTGACAAGATTTACCTCAGCTTTCTCATCCCGAGACCCTGTCCAAAGTGAATGGAATTTAATGGGATGTTTTCTCCTTTCCTTGAAAGCAATTTGTCTTTTGCAGCATCATCTTGATATTCATTATGTTTGTCTCATAACTGTCGTGGTGCTGAGGTAAAGCAATATGTCAAAGCAAATTGTGTGTGTGTGTGTGTGTGTGTGTGTGTGTGCGTGCGTGCGTGCGTGCGTGCGTGCGTGTGTGACATATGTGTGTGTGTGCACGTAAGAGTGAGAGAGAGTGTTTAAAATGTATGTGTTGTTGTGTATTCATGTATTTTTGATTCTCCATCCTGAGGACAAAAAGCATCATTTATTTATTCAGAATGATTCACTGAGTCCATTTCCCTACGCATTGCTCCACTATTTTATCCCAGAGCCTAGAAGTCCAGGGCATCCTCCTAACTCAAGTTGACTTCATAAAACTGCCACAGTTAACGTCCTGCCTACCTCGTGAAAATGGTCAGACGTGACCTGAGTCTCACCAGCCGTGTTTGACATGGACAGAGTGCATGCTATGGCTTCAGGCACTCTTCTCTCTGATTAATCAAGTACTGTCACGGGCCACAGAGGGCCACCGCACCACTGCACCCCTCAGGCCTGACCATGGTTGTGTCCCAAATGACACTGTATTCCCTGCACTACTACCCCCATAGGGCTCTGGTCAAAAGTAGTGCACTTAATAGGTAATAGGGTGCCATTTGGGATGACGACCATGTGGATGACCGTCGACCCACCAGAGGTCCAGCTTGTCACGACTTGATGAAGACTGACGTGCCCTGGTAGTTGATCATAAGCATTTACATACATGATATGAAAAGCTGTGTTTCATGCTCAAACTGCCCCAGGCCCGGATCAAATGCCCATGACAAACCCACCATTGCCATGCATGTCACACATTGAGGACAATGTGATCTATGAATAACAATGGGCAAACGCCATCTTTCTGATCGTATCTAATTATTATGGAATTTGAATGATGTTGTAGCATGTTATAACTTTGTTGGCACTGAAAGCTTGACCTAAGGAAGAGTAAGTAAGCATTTCTCTTTACACCTGTTGTATGCTGTGCATGCGACAAATACACTTTGATTTGATGATGTGCCTTACTGTCCTCTTGTTTGATTGATGGCCATGTGCTTTTATTCATTCACATGCAGCAAAGTGTAGTGTATTCTGATTTAGTTGTATATCTCGATCCCATTCTAAGATATGGACTAAATGTATGTGCTAGAGCAAAGGGTGACTTTGTGTCTGTTTCTCCCCTCATCCTGTTGGCTCATGAAGCCATGTTTCATTTAATCAAAGCCAGCTCTCAGCAACTGGTTATTCCCTAGTTTGCTTTTGAGCTTTTAAATTGCCTGTGTATGCACACGACTCAGCAGAATGAAGGAATGGTAATCTGAACCCTTTTTAAGAGAAAAAGTGCCAAAGCTTTGCATTTAATAACGCAGGAGATGTCTTTGAAGATGGCAGCACTGCCCTAAGTGCATTTGAGAGGACAGCATAATAAATATAACTAAATGCAGTGCCAGTTTGGAGGGAAATGCAATGCACATACCTGATATACTGTATATCCAAACCTGATTCGTTATGGATAACTCACATAACTTCTCTATTTCGGAAATGATGATATGATTTCAAACGTTGTTTGTAACAATATGTATTATTCAACAAATGATTATATCCAAATCCCACAGTAACTATAACTACGCCCTTTTCAGGGAATTCCCCATCAGAAGAGTCAGAGGAGCGTGACAAGGAGCCCCGGACCCTGACCTACCCAGCGTACATCGCCAGCTTGCTTGACTCTGGTGCCAAGCGCATGGCAGTGGGGGTGCGCATGGACTGCAGCAGCCAGGGTCAGTGCCCGTACTCCTGCCACCTCTGCCACATGAGCCCTGGGCCTGGGCGTACAGCCGAGCCTGTCCTGCTCCAGATCACTAAGGCTGCCCCGCTCTATGAGCTGGTCTCCAACAACCACACCTACCAGGTACAGAAAGCTTGCACTAAAAACCTTGGTTTAACCCCATTTTTGCAGTCCCAGACACATTTTCAGGAGTGGATTCCTAAAAGCATAAATAAGCTAAAGTGATACTGGCAAGAGCAGTGTGCAAATTATTTGCATGCACCTGCAACAAGCAACCTCAGATGTGCTTTTCCGATTTTGAATTCAGAGCATAAAAGAACATTCACCACCAATAATTGGATGTCAATTTATACATTCAATCATGCAGCGAGAGAAGCCCTTGTTTTGGGTACCACAGCGAAACACATATGCAAGATGTTTGACAATAGCGGTCGCAAAATGTGAGAGGCTGTTCTCCGACATAAATATGTTGTAAAATTGTGTAGTGTATGCCAGACATAAGCCTACATCAATATGTCAGACTGGCAAACGATAAGCTAGAGGATGATTGCATGACCCCCTAGAGGGCCAGATGATATTGATGCCTAGGCTCAGGCTGTGTGTTATTGACAGTGTTTGCTCCATCCTCCTGTCTCTTTGCAGGCACTGCAGGAGGCCATGATGAGCATGCTGTGGTGTTCTGGGAAAGGTGACGTCATTGATGACTGGTGCCGTTGTGACTCAAATGCGTTTGGGACGGACGGACTGCCAACATGTGCCCCTCTCCCTCAGCCTAGGTTAGTCACTCAAAACATTCTGTCTACGCGACTTGACAAACAATAAGATTGTATGTATTGATATCTAAAGATGAGCTTGTCTTGTCATGATTTGTTGAGTTAGTTAGGTGTAACTCTCTTTATTGTCTCCCAGGCTCAGGTTGTCCCACTCCTATGAGCCCAGCAGTTCATTGGTCATCATGGAATGGAATCACACTGAGCCACCAATTGGGGTGCGGATCGTGGATTACCTCATCAGCCAGGAGAAAGTGACAGAGAGGACAGACCACTCCAAAATGGAAACAGGTACATTCCTTCTCTGTTTCAGTTTTGAGGAATGACTGTATTTACGTTAATTTCATACAGTATGTCCATGTATAAATACAAAAACAGCCGTGCATGGTTGCTAAATGTTGAGGCAAGGCAAGGAAACCTCAAACTATATGTTACCACAGCAAAATTCCAGATTCTTATATTAATGATTTACATTTGTTACTATTGTAGTTTTGCATATAACCACAAGATGGTGGTCAATGCTAACAATAGTGTGGTCTGCATTTTAGATTTCTAGAGTCGGAATTACTAAATGCAAAGTAGTGGAGTGCATCACACATGTTCTAGTGCTAAATCATCTTCATCTGTCACTTCATCACACAGAGAAAAATATATAAAATAATAAAATAAGATGATTTTAAGATAAAAATAGAATGACAAAGCTAAACATCCTAAATATAAACCGTCAACTTAGTGAATATCGTTGGTTTAATATGAGGGTTTCAGCATGACATATCCTTTAAATATATTTATTTATTTACAAACTTTTATGTATTTTACTATGTCAATATGGATTTGGTGTGAATGTTTTGGCGTCAAACTGGTGGCAGTTGTGAAAAAGTCCGTAGTTGGAAGAGTTGAAGAGTTAAATGAAAATAATGCCATTGTTGATTAGATAGATGCTTTTTTCATTAAGTAGGCTATTTTCTCTTGAGCCATATGGTCTATCTACTAGAAACTCATGGACAATATGGACACAGATATATTTTATGAATACTATATACATACATTACCAGTCAAAAGTTTGGACACACCTACTCATTCAAGGGTTTTTCTTTATTTTTACTATTTTCTACATTGCAGAATAATAGTGAAGACATCAAAACTATGAAATAACACATATGGAATCATGTAGTAACCAAAAAAGTGTTAAACAAATCAAAATATATTTTATATTTGAGATTCTTCAAATAGCCACCCTTTGCCTTGATGACAGCTTTGAACACTCTTCTCTCAACTAGCTTCACCTGGAATGCTTTTCCAACAGTCTTGAAGGAGTTCCCACATATGCTGAGAACTTGTTGGCTGCTTTTCCTTCACTCTGCGGTCCGACTCATCCCAAACCATCTCAATTTGGTTGAGGTCGGGGGATTGTGGAGGCCAGGTCATCTGATACAGCACTCCATCACTCTCGTTCTTGGTAAAATAGCCCTTACACAGCCTGGAGGTGTGTTGGGTCATTGTCCTGTTGAAAAACAAATGATAGTCCCACTAAGCCCAAACCAGATGAGATGGCGTATCGCTGCAGAATGCTGTGGTAGACATGCTGGTTAAGTGTGCCTTCAATTCAAAATAAATCACAGACTGTCACCGGCAAAGCACCATCACACTGTAACACCTCCTCCTCCATGCTTTACGGTGGGAACCACACATGCGGAGATCATCCGTTCACCCACACCACGTCTCAGAAAGACACAGCGGTTGGAACCAAAAATCTCAAATTTGGACTCCAGACCAAAGGAAACATTTCTTTGCCTAAGCATGTCTCTTCTTCTTATTGGTGTCCTTTAGTAGTGGTTTCTTTGCAGGAATTCCACCATGAAGACCTGATTCACACAGTCTCCTCTGAACAGTTGATGTTGAGATGTGTCTGTGACTTGAACTCTTTTAAGCATTTATTTGGGCTGCAATTTCTGAGGCTGGTAACTCTAATTAACTTATCCTCTGCAGCAAAGGTAACTCTGGGTCTTCCATTGATGTGGCGGTCCTCATGAGAGCCAGTTTCATCATAGCGCTTGATGGTTTTTGCGACTGCACTTGAAGAAACTTTCAAAGTTCTTGAAATTGTGATGGGTGATTTGAAGGAGTCAGGCGCAGGAGGGTAAATCACAGAATACAGAGTTTATTCAAGAATACAGAGTTACGCTATATAGCGTCAAACAGTCCAGTGCGCAAAACAGGCGCACTGGAACAAAACAGGCACACAGGGAAATATATACCCTGGCAATACAAAATACACGTAGCTCAACCGAGCTACTCTCTCCTCACATTAAACAATCACCCACAAGGACAAGGGGGCAGAGGGAACACTTATACACGTACTAATGAGGGGATATGAACCAGGTGTGTGTAATAGACAAGACAAAACAAATGGAATGATGAGATGAGATGCAGCAGTGGCTAGAAGGCCGTTGACGACGAACGCCGAAGCCTGTCCGAACAAGGAGAGGAGGCAGCTTCGGAGGAAGTCGTGACAGTACCCCCCACCCCCTTGACGCGCAGCTCCAGCAGTGCGCCGACACCGGCCTCGGGGACGGCCAGGAGGACACGGAGCAGGGCGAGCCAGATGGCGACGGTGGAAATCCCGCAACAGGGAGGGATCGAGGATATCCCTCACCTAGACCCAGCACCGTTCCTCCGGACCGTACCCCTCCCACTCCACGAGGTACTGAAGGCCCCCCACCCGATGCCTCGAATCCAGGATGGAATGGACGGAGTACGCCGGGGCCCCCTCGATGTCCAGAGGATGCGGAGGGTCCTCCCGCACCTCAGACTCCTGGAGTGGACCAGCCACCACCGGCCTGATGAGAGACACATAAAACGATGGGTTAATACGATAATCTTGGCGGAGTAATAACCTATAGGTAACCTCGTTGATCCTCCTCAGGACTTTGAACGGCCCCACAAACCGTGGGTTCAGCTTCCGGCAGGGCAGGCTGAGGGGCAGATTCCGGGTCGAGACCCAGACCCGATCACCCGGTACGAAGACCGGGGCCTCTGCGTTGGCCTTCTGACGACGCTCGGTGTGTTGGAGGTGGACGTGAGCAGCGTTCCACGTCTCCTCTGCGTGCCGAAACCAGTCATCCACCGCAGGAGCCTCGGTCTGGGTCTGGTTCCACGGTGCCAGAACAGGTTGGTAACCTAAAACACATTGGAATGGCTTTAGGTTAGTGCAGGAGTGACTGAGAAAGTTCTGGGCATATTCGGCCCATGGCAAGACCACCGACCACTCCCCCGGCCGGTTCTGGCAGTAGGACCGCAGGAACCTACCCACATCCTGATTTACCCGTTCCACCTGCCCATTAGACTCGGGGTGGAAACCCTAGATCAGGCTGACCGAGACCCCCAGACGTTCCATGAACGCCTTCCAGACCTTGAATGTGAACTGGGGACCCTGGTCAGACACTATGTCCTCTGGTACCCCGTAGTGCCGGAAGAGGTGTGTAAACAGGGCCTCCGCAGTCTGCAGGGCCGTGGGAAGACCGGGCAGAAGAAGGAGGCGTCAGGTATTGGAAAAGCGGTCCACAATGACCAGGATGGTGGTGTTACTTTGAGAGAGGGGAAGATCATTAAGGGAATCAATACTTAGGTGAGATACTGGTCGTTGTGGAACTGGTAAAGGCTGTAACTTACCCGCTGGGAGGTGCCTAGGTGCCTTACTCTGGGCGCACACTGAGCAGGAGGAGACATACACCCTCATGTCCTTAGCCAAGGTAGGCCACCAGTACTTTCCGGTCAGGCAGCGCACTGTACGACCGATACCTGGGTGACCAGAGGAGAGTGACGTGTGTGCCCAGTAACGCCTGCTCTATATCCGCGTCCATCACCCATACTACCGGCGCCACAATGCAGGAGGCTGGGAGTATGGGGGTGTTGTCTCTGGGCCTCTCCTCTGTGTCATACAGCCGTGACAGTGCGTCTGCCTTCACGTTCTTCATACCCAGGATGTATGATAGAGTGAAATCAAACCGGGTGAAGAATAGGGCCCACCTGGCCTGGCGAGGATTCAGCCTCCTCGCTAACTTGATGTACTCCAGGTTATGTTGGTCCGTCCAATGTGATCAGGAAAGTGAATGGGTAGGGTACAGTGCTCAGCAGAGGGCTCTGAACGAGTGTGGGTGTTCGATACCTGGGGTGACGTGAGAGTCCCTGCCTGCCGCTTCCAGACCCAAAAGAACGCTGACGACATCATGCGGTGAAATGTCCTCTCATGCCACCAGAGTGACACTGGCGCTGTCGTCCTCCGCTCTCTCGGATCGCCGCTCCATCAGCTCGTGATCTGAGTCGGGCGGGGTTGGAACGGGCAGACCCGCACCAGGACGTACTCTGGCCACCATAGGTTGTCCAAGCGGATGGCCATGTCCACCAGTTGTGTGAAGGACAACATGGTGTCCCGGCAGGCTAGCTCTCTTCGGACGTCCTCCCGCAGATGGCACCGGAAGTGGTCGATGAGGGCCCGCTCGTTCCACCCGGACCCAGATGCTAGAGTCCGGAACGCCAGGGCGAAGTCCTGCGCGGTCCACGTCTCCTGCCTCAGGTGAACCAGCCGCTCGCCCGCCTCTCAACCCTCGGGCAGGTGATCGAAGACAGCCCGAAAGACGCGAGCGAACTCCCTGTAGTTGTCCAACGCGGCTCCTCCTTCATTCCAGACCGCGTTGGCCCACTACAGGGCTTTCCCCAAGAGGCAGGAGACGAGGGCGCACACCTTCTCCCGCTCCGATGGGGCCGGGCTGATCTGGAATTATAGAGCTCCAGTTGGAGGAGGAATCTCTGGCAGAGAGCAGCTGTCACGTCGAACTCCCGTGGTCAGGATATATGGATCCCTCTGGGTGCTGGGGTGTGGGTGGCGCTATAGAGTTACGCTATATAGCGTCAAACATTCCAGTGCGCAAAACAGGCGCACTGGAACAAAACAGGCACACAGGGAAAATATACCCCGGCAATACAAAATACACGTAGCTCAACCAAGCTATTCTCTCCTCACATTAAACAATCACCCACAAGGACATGGGGGCAGAGGGAACACTTATACAAGTCTCCCGAGTGGCACAGTGGTCTAAGGCACTGCATCGCAGTGCTAGCTGTGCCACTAGAGATCCTGGTTTCGAATCCAGGCTCTGTCGTAGCCGGCCACGACCGGGAGACCCATGGGGCGGTGCACAATTGGTCCAGGGTAGGGGAGGGAATGGCCGGCAGGGATGTAGAGCATGGCATTTGCAACGCCAGGGTTGTGGGTTCGATTCCCACGGGGGGCCAGTATGAAAAATAAAAATATAATGTAAGTCGCTCTGGATAAGAGCGTCTGCTAAATGATGTAAATGTTATACACATACTAATGAGGGGATATGAACCAGGTGTGTGTAATAGACAAGACAAAACAAATGGAATGATGAGATGAGATGCGGCAGTGGCTAGAAGGCCGGTGACGACGAACGACAAAGCCTGCCCGAACAAGGAGAGGATGCAGCTTCGGAGGAAGTCGTGACAGAAATGTTCCGTATTGACTGACCTTCATGT